ACTGGGAAGAGGTAACTATGGGGAAGAAGAGGAAGGGGAGCTGTTGCATTGTGGTAAACTGTGGTCAATGTCATGAGACAAAGTATATGTGAACTGCTTTATGGAAAGTGAATTTGCTCTGTAAATCTTCACCCAAATCACAATAAATAAATAAATAAATAGATAAATAAATAAAATTTAAAAATACAAAAAAATAAAAGTAAAAATAAAGCAATGCTCCAAGAAGACAGTTCATCAAATATGAGTGATCAACATGGTGGCACTGCGGAAGAGGAAGACATAGAGAGGTACATGGGAGGTAGAGACAACAAAGATGAACCCTTTTGCACATACAGTACTGCATTGTCAGTGAAGGCAAACATGGGTATACGGGTGGATAGATGGATGGACAGGCTGAACTAGTAGATATGGCTATGAAGCAGGGAGTGTCCCAAGACCATGTATAGGGTTGGCAGACAATGATCCTATAAATGTATTTGTATGATCTGAATTTCCCAGGTGTATAGTAGAGCTGACAATGGACAAGGTTGTAGTCACTTCTTGGTCACTGCCAGCTATCCAGAGAGACTGAGTAGTTGAACCTGTGGGCTCAGGACCATAGTCTCAGGGGACATCAAGCTCATTTGGCATAACATACTACAAAATATTGTTCCACGTCTTACTTTGGCAAGTAGCAACTGGGATCTTAAAAGTTTCCAAGCAGCCATCTAGATGCAATGATGGGTCTCTCCTTGTCCAGAGCAAAGAAGAATGAAGAAAACCAAAGATTCATGGAAATAATTAGTCCTAGTGACTGGAACACAATGCAATCTGCAGCCTATACAACTATGAGACCAGAAGAACTAGATGGTGCCTGGCTACCACTGTCATCCAATTGGAAAGGGATCTATGTAGGAGATCCTTGATAGAGAGGGAGAACAATGTGGAACAAAACTCAAAATCAGTTGGAAAGAAAAAAAAATGGGGGGACCAGTTTTGCTGGTCTGATAGAGCCTGGTGGAACCACTGAGACTATGGACCCTAGCTGCTCTTCAGGTCTGGAATTGAACACATACCTGTGGCTTCCAGCCAAACAAAAGAGAGGTACATGAGTTGAACATTTACTTGAAGTAGATACACTCCTTGGAGAGAACAATCATGGGAGAAAAAAGGGCTCTTTATGCACAGGGAGACAGCTCAGGGGGCAGGAGTGGATGGAGGGAAGGACACAGGGAAGAGGTAACTATAGGGAGGAAGTGGGAGGGGAGCTGTTGCATTGTGGTAAATCGTAGTCAATGTCATGAGACAAAGTGTTTGTGAAGTGCTGTATGAAAAGTGAATTTGCTCTGTATATTTTCATCCAAATCACAATTAAAAGGAAAAAAAAAAAAAAAAAAAAACAGCTTTGGGAATGGTCTCTAGCTTATGGCATGTGTGAACCCTGCATGTAGCTGTGTCATTGTTCAGCAGCTTGCCATGCTCTGCCGATCCTGGAACTTTCAATGGACTTGAATAAATGGCCTGCCATGTGGTTTGGTAACATCAGGACTGTCCCTTTTTACTTGTCAACTTTGGGCTTGTCAGTCTCAGCAGCCAGTCTAAATGAAGAAAAGCCTCCAGCTTCAGTGGGCCGGGAGCAGGAGGCAGAGCTGAATCCCAAGTTTGAGGGGCTTTCACCCAGCCCCTAAAGCCTGGCACTTTGAACTCGGACTTAAAGCCTCTAGACTGTAAGAGAATAAACTTCTGTGTGTTAAGACCATCCCATTTGTGGCATATTCTTGTCAGACACTAGGTAACCAGAAAAGGGTTACAGAGCCAGTAGTCTCTACTGTTCTGGGGTATGGAAGACAGAGAAAACCAAAGATGACTGAAATTTCATGGTAGTTATCTTAAAATATTTGAAGTCATTTCTTATGAAAGAAAGAATAGATTTATTCCATGTTTCAACAGAGACAGAACTATAAGAGGCTAGACGTTACAGGGATTTCTGCCTAACATATTATTGTATATAATATATACGATATTATATATAAAAAAGAACTTCCTCCCAATTAAAGTTGTTGAATCAGAGAATAGGTTGCCTTGGAAACTAATGAGCTTCTTATCTTTGGAATATTCAAGATAAAAGAAGATGTCAGTATACTATTAAAATTGTAGAAGAGCTATCTGATTACATAATATGCTGGGCCAGAAAACTTCTAAAGCTGCTTCTTATATACAAATATTTAATGATTATATGAAGTATATAATATGATATACTAATACAGTTACCCTAAATCTTAGCATTTATTATAGGCATGCATTGCTATAAAATGCTAAAATATACTTTTTATGTATGTACAAAAGTAAGAAGGTAAGTTCAGAAGGTAAGCTCTTATAGGAGAAAAACACTAAATAGGTGGACATTCGATGCATACTGATACTTAAATATTTGCATAATATTTGGAAAATGATAATGCCTTTGTCATATTTTACAAAGTGAAACAATTTTACAATAAAAAGGGAATTGAAACAACAAGATACTACTACACACCTATTAGGATGGCTAAAATCCCAAACACTGACAACACCCAATGTGGGTGAGGGATGTAGAGCAACGGAAATTCCTATTCATTGCTGATGGGAATCCAAAATGGAACAGCCAATTCAAAAGATGGTCTGGCAATTTCTCACATTATCAGTACAGTCTTACCTTATGGCCCAGATATCATACTCCTACATATTTACTAAAAATGAGCTAAAAACTTATGTCCACATAAAAACCTACACATGAATGATTATAGCAGCTTTATTCATAATTGCCAAAACTGAAAGCAATCAAGATATCCTTTAACAGATGAATGGATAAGCAAACTGTGATGCATCCACATGATGGAATATTATGTAACAATAAAAAGAAATGAGCTATCAAGCCACAAAGATACATAGAAGAACTTTATATGCACTTTGCCAAGTGAAAGAAACCCAGTCTCAAAAGACTATATACCATCTGATGCCAAGTAATGATATTCTGGGAAAAACAAAACTATGGAGACACTAAAAGATCAGTTTCCAGGGATTCATGGGAAGGGAGAAGGGGATAAAAAGGTAGAGTACCGGGATTTTTAAGGTGGTAGATTACAGCCTTGGAAAACCTATGGAGCTGTTCTACTCTGTCCTATAGGGTCACTATGAGTCTAAGTTGACTTGGCAATGAGTTTGGATTTGGGTTGGTGTCTATTGAGGTGGAAGTATATGGGAACTCTCTATACTGTGTGGTTAATTTTTCTGTAAACCTACAACTGTTCTAAAAAATAAAATCTATTAATTTTTAAAAAAGGGAAGAGGAAACAGACTTTTAGTACTCTTCAACAAAGTAATATGGATAAATTTCCATAGAATAGCATCATATCCTTTATTAATGTAGGTCACAACAATGTCAATTATTACCTAATCTATAAATTCTTATCAACTATGAGCTAAACTGAATCTTTAATATTTAACATTTATTTATTGGGGGGGGGGGAGGAAATACATAAACAGGTTGTGCCTACCAAAAATAGTCAAAAAAATTATCACTTCAGATTACTAATTAAAATTCATTGACAAGCCCAGAATAATTAAATATTTTTAGGCTACTTTAAATGATTTCCTCAAGTAAAGCAGCACTATTAACTCCATGCCAACATTTTATACTTTTATACTTAGTTTAACATCAATGCTTACCTGGTTTACCAGCTCGTCCACATAGCTGGGGTTGTAGAAGAACTTGTAGCATAGCAGGATTGTTTAAACTTTTCATAATTTGTACTGGATTTGGCTCTGGAAGTAAGCCCTTTTGACTACTGTGCATCTTCAATGAATATACATAAGAAATGTTAGAACAAGGACAAATTCAGAAGAAGTAATTTTTTCACAATTTCTTCCAGAAATTCTCATTAATCTAATAAAATCTATTTTATGATAAATGCAATTTGCCTAGCATGAGTTGGAACTGACCTGACAGCACCTAACAACAGCAGCAGGATGTAGTGAGCACAATAAATATTTGTAACATCAATGAAAACAGGAAAAAAAAAAAGGTGAGGCTGAGTAGATTCTGACTCATAGCAACTCCATGTGGGTCAGAGTAGAACTGTTCTCTGTATGGTTTTCAATGGGTATTTTTTGGAACTAGATTGCAGGACTTTCTTCCCCTGGGTAGACTCAAACCTCCAACCTTTGGTTAGCCGGTTGGTTAGCAGTTTGTACCACCCAAGGACAGAGAAGGAAGTCAAATATGGCAGCACATAGAAATACATTTGCTACTGGAGAAGAGAAAAGGTGAATAAATGAGTCTAACTTTCTACAAAGTAGGAGTCATAATCATCTGAGAAAAGGGGGGTGGGGAGATAAGAATACAGTGAAGATCTAAGATAATTGCTACAGAAAATGGAAAAGAGCTGATGAGAGATTAAGATGAAGATTTGCTGGGGGCACTAAAGGGCCAGCAAACAAACATATGCTATACACTTATAGAAGGAGCTCTGGTAGCATAGTGCCTAAGGCGCTTGACTGCTGACCAGAAGGCTGGCGGTTCAAACCCACCAGCCACTCCTTGGAAGGAAGGTTGGGCGATAAACTTCTGTAGTGATACTGCCTCGGAAACCCAAGGAGGGGTCGCTATGAGTCGGGTCCAACTCGATGGCAAACAACAACAACAACATAAACTTATAGTGACATCAAGCCACCCAGTTGTTTCTCTTCAAGAAGACACAGACGTCTGGCTGAAATAGCAGGTGGCTGGACCAGTTCAGAACTGTAACCTCTGTAAATCTAATCCAACAAAGGGACAATTTAATCAAAGGAAATGAAGTTGAGAGTGAAAGAGTGGCTGAAGTAATACATCATACAAGAAAGGATAAAATAGTATCACAATTCATCTATATCCTAAGGAGAGGGAAGAAAGCTTACCACGCGTTGAGCTGCTATCAATGCTGCTAGTGTGCTTCGCCCTGGAGCTCCTGGGGCACAGAAGGAAACCTGGACTTTGTTTCCCTTGATGGTCATGCCATTCGCTGCTTGCTGAACCTCTTCAGCATGCTCTGCCGTGTTATATTCAACCACTGCAAAGCCACCAACGTAACTACCTTCATCCTGTGCAAGCTGATGTAATACGTTTTATTAAAAGGGAAATTCTGCTATTAAATGTGTTTACTTAAAATATATAACTTTCAAATTATATTTGAAACAAATGTATTACAAAGTATGATACTCTTTCTCTCTGAAAATAAGAGTTTACTAGTTCCTTAGCTGCAGTTCTTCCTGAAGACAGGAAGATGAACAAAATTCCATCAAGTTTCATTTCAGTTCTTTGATACTATAATGTATTTTGAAAGTGAAAATCCAAATGATAGTAGTCCTTATACATTATGAAATATATAGAGAAGCTAATTTGTGGCAAAATACTGGGACAGAATAATTAAAACTTTCTTTGAAGCAAAATTCACCAGATACCTAGGTAGTAAAACAACATATTGAGCAATTATCTGAGCATATATATATATGTAACATAAAATTAATATTATCAAGGGAAGAAAGTTGTTGTTGTTGTTGTTAAGTGCCGTTGAGTCGTTTCCGACCCATAGCGACCCCATGCACAGCAGAACGAAACACTGCCTGATCCCGCACCAGCCCCACAATCCCTGATATACTTGAGCCCATCATCACAGCCACCATATCAATCCATCTCCTTGAAGGCCTCCCCCTCTTTCGTCGACCCTCCACCCTAGCAAGCATGACATCCTTCTCCAGGGAATGGTCCCTTCTTACAACATGACCAAAATAGGTGAGACGAAGTCTGGCCATTCTTGCTTCCAAGGAGCATTCTG